CGAATTTCCCTATAGGGAAGTAGCTATTACCGTTGGTGGCACGGTAAGACCTAGACCCGGGACCGATTTACTTTTTCATTTTGATGTCCCCAGAGGCCAAAAACACTATTCGTTCAAATTTTTATATATGTATATATATATATATAGACATATATATATTTACGTCCGTGAACGCGATAACTTGAGTAATTTTTGTCCGATTTTGATGAAATTTGGTTTAAAGGTGTAAAGCGGGATAAACTTGAATGAGTTCGCGAACCAGCACGATCGGACCATGGGAACGGGGTTTTACGGGGGGTTTTATGGGGTAAAAATTGGTTTTTCTCACTTTTGACCCTCAAAACACAAAATTTCCCAATTTCTCTTTAGACCTTTTTAAAGAGCTTAAAAAAACAAATAATTTAGTATGTAAAAGTATTTTTGTTCGATTATTAGTAACGGAGAAAATTAAAAAAATTGTAAATTTAAAATTACCATGTTATTCTTATGGAGAATATTGTCAAATGTTGTAGTTTGCTTGTTTATGAATATATTTTGATCAAACTTGGCAAATTTATTTATTTTGTACTAAGCTATCAATATTTTACTCAAAAACACACTTTATTAGTTTCCTTGTAGCAGCAAACCTAGGTACTCGTTAAACCTAATGTTATTAAAATATATTTAACTGAAAATCAATTCAGACAAATGGAAATTCGCTTAGTCGGCAGGTTTGCTGCGGCGGGGGTATTTATTAATAGAAATATGTATGTAAAATGTTCTGTCTTAAATATCACTGTGGCAAAGTTGGCGGTATTTTTGTTCCTGAGATGTTTTCTTAAATAAATGAAAGGATAAATTTAAGAAGGATACTTTAGCCTAGTTCCGGGAGTTCTACACGGAGAAAGCTAAAGGAACAATAAAGAGGATAAAAATACTGCTTCTTTTAGAATCCGAGTAGAAGTCACTTTTGTTTTTTCCTGTGATGCTTCTCTTAAAGGGGCTTTAGTTTACGACTTAAAACAAAAGCAAATTCTTTGTTGTCTTTTTGCTGAAAAAAACATACAATACTAGTTACAATGAAATTCTGAACGGTACAAAGCAAGTTAAAGTTATACATAAAAAAAATAATGAATCATTAATGTGTAAGATAGGGACCTGACATTTTGCCAGTGAGTAATTAACATATTAACTCCTTGCTGCACAAAACTGTATGACATTTTGCCACCCCATGTTGCATGGAACTAAAAAAATAAAATCTCCGTATATATTAGTATTTTTTGAATATTTTAATAACAGATAACTTGTCTTTATAAATTTAAATATTTTATCCAATGATAAAAGTATTTAAATTTTTCCCATGATAAATTATTACATGTCAATGAAATATATGTAAACAATTGTCGTTATATTTTCTGTGACACTATAAAATTGTCTAGGGGCCAGAAATAAAAACATATGGTGTTACACAAAATACTATGCAGCAAAATGCACTCAACTGTTTTTTAAAGCTTTTGTGGCACTATGCTGCAATGAGAATAGTGCAAATTAAATTCATTTAATACATCTATTTTTACTGCTGAGTTTAAATTACTTTTTAAATACATATTACTTTAAGGATGAACTCAAAATTATAAAGTAAGATCCAAATTATGTGACGATGTACATAAATAAGTTCAATTTTAATAATATTTAGGAATAATAAAATGATTTAACGTTTTAATGAATATAATTCAAAAGGTTTTAAATATTATTTTTTTAGAATGATATTTTGTAGAAGTTTAAAGGAATCTTCTCAACGACTGTTGATTTTTAGCAAAACCACTTTTTGAGCGAGATTTAGAAACAAGGCATTGACGGACAGGAAATCGTTCAAATTCGTCGGAAATGAAAATCGAGGTGAAGAAACAATTGACGATTTTTAAGTAGAAACATCGAGAATTGGGCCTGAGGGTGTCTCGACAAGTGTTCGAAATGAAAATATCCTCTGACAAAATTGTTTTATAGGTAAATATTTCGATTTTCATAAATTTAAGTCATAGTTTTGTAATAATTTTATGAAATATTCACATGATGTGAAAGCTCTTCTTACAAATTTCTCTCTTATTTATAGAACCCATTAGCCTTTTTAATAAAAGTATCAGATACAGTCACTTTAATTTCAAAATTCTTAATAAACTGTGAGTATACGTTTAAACTGGGTTTAAAATGCTAACAATTTATTTTGCTGAAATGTTTAGCATTGAAATTAAGTATTGTAAGATTTTTAGACATTGACTCGTTCAATGGAAGCAAGAATCATATGTAAATTAAAAGATACAATAATAACAAACAACAATAATTATTAATAAAAAATAAATTGATTTTTCTTCGATATTGTTTACAGCCAGTTTTGGAATTGACGTAGGTGGGGATATTTCTTGGCACACAAAAATTAAATATAGCCAGTGGTTATTAATTACTTTTTTTTAATTCCCCCTAAAAAATAATTATGAACCCATTGGTCTATAAATTAATGATGCTATCAATCACAAGGTCAACATTAAATGGTAACAAGACTAAGGTTTGTAAAAAAACGTAAACAAATGTTAACGGAGTAAAAATGACACAACTATATAAAATACCATTACCGCAGCAAACCTGCAGACTAAGCGAATTTACATTTGCCAGATTGGATTTACACTAAAATGCCTCCTTGAAAGTTTACTCCCTATTTAAATAGAATTAGTTTAACGAGTACTTAGGTTTGCTGCAACAGGGAGGGTAAACAAGTGTTATTTGTTGTAAAATGTTAATAGTTTAGTAAAAAATGAACGTATTTTCCAAATTCGATCAAAACATGTTCATAAACAAGCAAACTACACCAGTTAACTTATTCCCCGTTAGAATAACATGGGAGTTTCAAATTTACAATTTATTAAAATTTTCTACACAACCATTAGGCACACAATAACTCTTCAGTATACTAAATTATTTGTTTTTTTATGCTCTACAGAATAGTTTGGAAATAAATTGTGAATTTTTTTGTTTTTAGGGTAAAAAATGGGAAAAACCTTTTCCCCCCATAAAACCCTCTTCCCATAGTCCGATCATACTGGTTCGCGAACTCACTAAAATAAATTCGCTAAAAGAAGCACCTAAAATAAAACTCAATCACAATGGAGACCTTCGGGCCACTCTACACATAAGGGCGTTGGTTTGGCCAGTTGGACCAAGGGTGGGATTGCGGATTGCTTGTTTACAAACCCTTTGTAATGTAAATACCTGACTGTCCCAACATCTTTGTGTGAGGTACAATATGCTCAGATGAACTCTAATCAAGAAAGTGCTATTCAAACACACATTGATATTGACCCTATTTATTCTAGTGTTTTAAAATAATCCATTTATTCATCTAATAGGCTGACGGAAGACCCATTTAAAAAATAAAAAGATCAGCCTAATAGCATTTAGTTGCAATAATAACAAGATAAAATATAAAATGTATAGCAAGAATAAGAAATAAAAATAAACAGGTTAATAACAAATTTGAAAATAAAATTGAAAACATGTATAACCCAGAAGGTATAGGGGAAAAATAGGTCTTAATACATGTACACATATCTGCAGTCAATGTCCTTCAATGTAGGGGCAGTCTTGGAGAGATCTGAAGAAAATCTTGAGTTCATATTACAGTCCCAATTGAGCTTCAGTATTGCAAGTTGTTTTATTTTTATTAAAGCAATAGTCGAAGAAAAATAAAGATTTTTTGGGGAAAAGCATGTTCGCTTTGTGCTGGATTCGCCACTCCAGTGAAGAGGCACGAGTTCAAATACCATTAAACACCAATGACTTGCTTTGTATTATACAGTGGCCCCATAATTTAGATTCATTGGCAAAAGGGTATAGGTGCTTTAGGCTTAGGAAACATTATCAGTGTTGAAAAACGCATAGTATTAAATCAACCGATGTATATTTTTTCCAGTGCATGACCAACATAAAAAGCCATTTGGAACGAATTGTATTATGCTATGTAAAAGATAGATTAAATTTACTAAAGATTAAACTCACTGAGTTTTTAATTTGTTAATTTAGATTTTAAAAACATTATGAACCATTCAAAAATATTCAATAATTCACACACCAAAACATAATCAGTGTTAACACATGTATTGTTATGGTACACTTAATACAGTGATTACTAAAACAAATGGAATGTGTGATAACTCTTATCAGAGAAAACTGTGTCGAAATTTTGAAGATATTAGAAATATTCATCATAATGTCCGTTTATGACATGAGTGTCCATGTGGTGGGTCCTGCAGAAGTTGTTTGCACCTTTCCGAGTAATACATGAACATCAAGATAGTATCTTTACGTGGTTGTTGATAACAGATACTGTTCTTTCATGGGGGCACACCTTATATCATTTATATCTGAGCAGAGGACAGGTATGCTTTCTTTATTTAAGAGCTGTAAAAGTTAATTTTATATAGTTAATGCGCTACATGATCGGACACAATTTATTAGTTTATTTTAGAAGTGTCTAATGTAATTTAAATCCTAAATACAGGTTGGTCAGTTAAATTTTTTTATTACTTTATAACTTGTAGTTTGCCACCAGGTCCATACAAACATACTTACGTTTTAGTACATCCCTAGCCTTAATTTGTTATTGTAACACTCGATTAATGTTTTTTAGCCGCTAATGTAATCGTTTTACCCTCAAGATCACGTTTATAGAAATCAAAGATAAAAATACATTTCTAACTGGTTTTTAAGCAAAGTAATGCAGTACTACTGAATACGGCCAGGTTTGTAACAAAAATACTTAAAAATTGTACACTCCATCAAAACCTCCAACTTAGGCTGTTAGATCTTTATCAAACTAAAACTAAATCATTATCTGCATTATATGCCTCAAACAGTAATTTTAATCCCTTTACATCCAATCCTTGAAACATAAATACCAAATATTTACGTACGCAACATGTATTTTACAACCCCTACAGATCTCTTGACATCTTTGCGACTCATTTCAGGAATGCGAACATAAGACAATGGAAGAGGAAGGGTTCAGTACTGATTTGAACCTAGAGACTCGGGAGAAGTGGAACGCGGACCCTCCATTCTCCATTGAGCCTTTGCACGGCCCGGCTCAGTACGTGTTTTGCGCCCTGCAGACGGAATGTGAGCCTTGCAAAGACAATCAGCATTGCTCCACAATGATGAGGGAGATACAAAGCGAACACGCCGTCTTCGAGAAGCTACCAGACATCAGATACAAGTAGGCAATACCATAGACCAACACAAGTAGACTTATCATCCCATTGCAAATTTTTAGGCTCGTTTTTCATGTCTAATGTTGGCGACACTGATTGCTAGTGTCGACGGAAGGTACCTTGGTCTTATACCGACAACACCTTGGGTTAGGTTTGGTTAGGATAAGATAACCGGAATATAACCTAACCTAACCTATCATAACCTAACCTAACCTATCATAACCTAACCTAACCTAACCTCTAACCTAGCCTAACCTAACCTAACCCAGCATAATTTAAGGGTAACCAATGTAGGTGAATACTAAAGTACCCGACGGATTTTTTTTTCTATAATTTTAGGGCTAATTTCCTGATTTGTTCGTTACTGTTGGGTTATACTAGTGTACGAGTTATTGTTAATTAAGAAGTATTTTTATTTGGTTGAACGAGGTTTTAATTGATTGAAACGACAAGAAACAAATTGTAAGCAAAACACGATCCCTACAGTCATATACTAAAAGAACTAAACATAGATTGTCAGCCGTGCTGTGGTTACCATGGTTACCATAGGTTCTGGCGCACACCACTGGGAGCGCCGTGTAGCTACGTAGAGCGTACACCGTAACTACATGGTGATCCTAGTGGTGTGCGCCAGAACCTATGGTAACCGCAGCACGGCTGCCGGTCTATATTTATTTATTTTTGTCTATGCTACAGTGCACCAGACAGAACTAAAAATGCTATTGTCTTCAGATGATTCATATTGCCTTGATGAGAAATCTAGTATGTTTTATCTATGGCTATACTTATGCAAGTATTTAGTATATTTAGTCAGGTGTCTAAGGGCTGTAAAGTAACTTGAATGTCTTCAGCTGATCCACAAGTATGACAAATCTACCAAGGGAGTATGATTAATTCATGGCATAACTTAACACAAATAATCTGAACCATGTAGATACTTGTACCAAATACTCTTTCTGCTGCAGTTTCCTGATCGGCGGCGACGGTCGTGTGTACGAAGGCAGAGGATGGAATGTTCGTCCAACGCTACCAGAGAGATACTCTAGTTTGAGTGATAGAAGCTACTACATCGGATTCATAGGCGATCTCTCAGGTAATGTAATAAACACAATGGAGAACAAACCTAGAATAAAGTTAAGCTCTTCAGAGTTGGTTATACATGCATATTTCCGTATAGGAAGTTGATATTTAAAATGTCAACAGATGCCAATGAAAATTATCATTTTACATATTTAAATTATTTTAGAACAAAATATCTGCTGAATTTATCTTGATATTAGTTTACTCATCCTTGTTTGCGATAAATTTAGGGTACATTGTATAATACATGTTTAGGTTGTACCTAAGTAACTAGATAAACTTCAGGCAATGGTTCTCTGAATTAAAATAAATAGCACACCAAAAATGATAATTTTCCAGAATCACTTCAGTTATCAGATATATCTGTAATTTAGTATTTTTTACATAAGCATTATTTTGATCTTTAGTATTAACGCAAAAAATACAAAATGGTGGATATTTGGTTAACGAATTGAATTGAAAAAATCTGCATTTCCGATTTTATTTTTATTTTGAACCATGGGACCATTTACCGGAGTTTGGCTGTTATCTTATAGGGTAACCTTGTGCAGTAGAAAAAACGGAAAGTAAATAAAGATACGTCTTATAACACTTAAAACATATATTTACGCTTATACTGTTACTCACCAGGCGGTAAATATACAAAAGATGGTAAGTGGTGATCGATTTCGATTGGACACTCCAATCATCATCAGACCATCTTTTGTATATTTACCACAGTACAGTGTGTACAGTTCAGTTGAGGTGAGTAACAGTATAAGCGTAAATATATGTTTTAAGTGTTATAAGACTATCTTTATTTACTTTCCGTAAATTTAATAGCACGTACAATGCTGATCAAAAAGTTATTCAGTAGAAAATATAAGGAGAAATAAGCAGTGTAGTAAAATCCTAACCTTTTGAAATACGTATTACTCATCATGACTGATATGATACATTGTGTGTGTTTGAACGTTCCTCAACCAATGATTTGTCTAGGACTACTAAATAGAAGACCTTCCCAACATTTATAAATTTTATACATTGTGGGGACATTATGCTTCCCTCCAAGCAAGTTATATTTGTCAGCTGATAGCTTTTTTAAAATTGAAAACCCACTTTTAAAAATAAATTATATTAATAATTATAAGGATGGATAAACTTGAGGAAATGGTTCTATGAGTAAAGAGAGAGGTAACATAGCTGAGCTCCAGTGTTAATACATATCATACCTTCAACATGTGGAACTAAATGTAATCTATGTGCAAAGTACTATCACAATGCACATTTCCTGAAAAAAAAATGCAAATACAAAAAATAAATGTACCTTTATTTTATCACCAATTTCTGTTTATGAAATCAATACTTTCCTTAACTTTTAAGTGTTAATTCAGCATTACTGTCATTAACGCTGGTGTTACACTATCAAAGATTTAACATTTTTAGGTGTCATAGAACAAAAAATACTACTACAAAAAAATACGAAACTTTTAAGCAAAATAATTTTGTTAACACCAAAAATCTATTGTTCCAGATCCTCGTCCCAACACAGAAATGTTGGAGCTCAAAAATAGAGTGATAAGAAACGGGTTTAAGAGAGGTGCAATTCGAATTAAGTTCTTAGAGTTTCTCCTACTGTTTCATAAAGGTTTACCGAACGCACAGATAGACTATGTATATAAACACCTGAGATCGGGGAAAAACAAATTTCTAACTAATAACACAGTTTCATAGATACAAGGAGCGAAGACTTTACCCACTAGTCCATAAAACCTTTACACCAAAATTTCTGGTTCTAAATAGTAAACATTTGAATCAGTAAGTGGACATTTTTAAGTTCTCGCTCAAAATAAGTAAATTAAACCTCAATGTATTGTGTTGCAGAAGAACCCACCCAGTTGATGCTGGATGCTCGAGATATGTTAATGTCGCATATGCTAACAGATAAAAAGCTGAATTCGAGATTTTTGCACTTTCAAATAAGTCGTTTGGACCAGGAACATGTATGTGAACCATCAAATAATACGGGCGGATTACAGAATTTTGCTGATAAAGTTTCTGAGTTAAAGAATAAATAGGTTTTCGGTAATGTAAAAAAAATCAAATGTGTTGTTTGATGTTACTAAAATTTAACATGGAATCGTCATTCAGGTAGGATTTTGACAAAGATGACATGTAAGAAATAAATACTGACTTAGCTTTGTAATGGAGAATTGTTATTTATGTTTCAATAAACTTATATTTCATAGATAATTGTTTTCTTTTTGTATTATATTTTTCTACAACATTGTCAATATTTCTATTATATGACAGGAGCAAATACATTAATATAAATTAGAGGTAGTTATATGTGGAATAATGATATTTTATAAGCTTTATAGTTTGATTATTTTACTAACTCTGATTTCTTTATGACTCACTTTAAGAAGTCGCGTAAAATATAGATTACTAATATATAAAGTATATAATATAAATGTATTATATGAATAAATACTATATACATAGAATGAATATTTTCAATACATTTTAATAAATTAAAACAAAAAATATTAAGAAATTACCTAATTTTATCTATTTGGAATCATTTATTCATCCGGTTAAGTTTTCGTATATTTGTCACGAAAATGTCTAATAGGATATTTCATTTTGTCTATTTGATCTGAAACGCAATAAGTAAGCTACATAATACAATAGTAGATGTTGAATGGAAAGCTTTTGAGAGAAAACGTTATTTAATTTATATTAATTTAAATGTAAAATCCATTTTCATCTTGATGGAAATATTTGAGTAAAAAAAGAATTCATATTTGGAATGTGTACCTGCAATACATTAAAACAAAATTGTTAGATTTATATCGAATGTATTTTGACACGTAACTGGGGGTCTATTTATTGTTTATAGTTGATTTAATTTTCCTATTAAAAGAGTAAAATACAATTTTAACACTATATAATCAAAAATACTCCCTTGATTAATAATAAGTATTGCTATTAGTAGGCCTACTGTATTACGTCATAGTAAGTTTTTTTTAAGTAGGTAATCTAATCAAATTGTATCCAATTAATTTAAGAGTTCTAAGTTATATCCACAAGTTTTGTGATATCAGGCCAAATGTTTTTAGCCTGATAAGCTGACAAAGACATATCGACATCCTGAAAACCGAATCCGAGCTTAGAGTGAAGAATGTATTGTTCTTTTACACTTTTGTAAAACCCCACTCTATCGTGGATTGCACACCGGTTGGCGTTTTGAAATATTATATATAGCTAACAGTGATTTCAATACTTTTTTGTAAAGATACAGGAAAAAATACTTGATTTATCATTATGGGTTTCGTGAAAAAAATACTTTTTAAACAAATATAATCTGTACCTAATGTTTTACACATTCTAACCACGTTTAATGAAATTAAGAAGGAAATTACAAAACGTTCTAAAAACCTACAAGTATTCTAGGGTTTCAAAACTTATAGTGCAACGGTTAGGTTAATATAACACATTTAGTATTCGACATGCAGATTAAAATGTAAGATATTTTAGGTATGAGGTATAATTTGTGCAGCAGTTGGATTCTGTACTAGGTGCTAGGGTATGATATGTCACGGAAGCCTTCTTTTTGCCAACTGAAACTTTGTGAATGGTAAATACTTAGGTTACCAAAGAGTTTTTTACATTTTATTTATCTTTAAAAACTTGTTTTCAAGCCATTACCATTATTTTTATTATTCTATACCATGGTTTATTTATAGAACGACTATATTAAATATTATAATTTGTTGATATTCTAATTTGAAATTGCACCTGGGTACAGGCTCTACCCTGCCTGGCATGGATCTAATATTAGATTTTAAGAAATATTAGATCAAATATTGATATTAGTTTTTAGTTTCTGACTGATGTAGGCCTTAAATCTGTATCTTACTTTGTTGTTTAAATTATTTGTAGCCTAAGTTATTGAATGTTATAGGCCCTAATTAATATGCTATCCACTGGGCATTTTATCCTTGCAGATTATTGAGACTTCTTAGCCTAAGTTACTCTCATATTGGCCTCAACTATACAAAATGTTCTTTTTGTAATTTGTTGCAATAAATTCTTGATTCTTGATTCTTGATTCAAACCAGCAAACCTTACCACAACTCTTAAACTAAGACAATTAACACTTCTGATAATAAAAAATAAATTCTTAGATAGAGTTTGAAATTACAAATAGATTCAAGATAAAAAGTTGAAAAAAGGACATCGAACACTAAAAAAAAAAACTGTACAACTGACGATAAATGTAAAAAGCAATATTTTGTGGCACCAAAACCTTAAAAATTCTCATATTACATTGACCAGAAAATCATCAGGATGTAAAAAAGCGTTTCCGAGTTTAGGAAAAAGCATATTTCCTTTACTATATCTATAAATTGTAGATTTATGCATTTAAAATCAAAAACCCCCGTTAAGTCCATAAACACTCGTAGTTTCTTCATTTAGATAATATGGAGGTCTAAACAATTTTTGAAACATCATCGTCACTTTCCCAAAATAAATCCTCTCCAGCTTGATAAATGCCACCAGATGGTTAATTTTTAACATTTCCATCTGCTGGACGAGGCACGTGGACCAACTGGACAAGAGATGTAAAACTCTCAGGACAACTCACTGGGTGGAAAATCAATCAGTCCAACACCACGTGTTCGTGACTCGGGTGTCCGGACGAGTTACAACTGGTTACAACAGGAACGCACATGTCGCGGCGTGTTTAGTGAAGAATAATGCACATTGTAATTATGTTGTAGAATTTAACTAAACGAGCACACGTTTATCACATAAAAGGAGATGGGTTTGATACGAAAACATTTGTTGTATTCGGTTTTTGGGTACATTGGTATTATACCAACCACACCTAAATAGGTTTTAGGTTAGGTTGGGGTAAGATAAGACATCCGGAAGATAACCTAACCTAACCTAAGGGTTATCTTCCGGTTATCTTTACCTAACCTAACCTAACCTAGTTGTGGTAACCTAACCCAATTTAGGTGTGGTCAGTATAATACCAAAGTACCGGGTTTTGTATTGATTAACATCGTAGAGTGCAGCCCGTAAATGTTTTACACATTACTTCAATCTAGGCCTAGAGGGCTGCAACATAATCATACAGCTATGGAACCATTGCCGATTGACAGGATTTGAAACAGGGATCTTTGGGGCCGAAGCCCTGGGCGCAGTAATTAGGCCAACTCGTTCTGCAATGGTAGTGCGTGATTATATATATATCGTAGTGATTTAAAAATCTACATAATTCTATATAACAGCGGATTCTTGTTAGCTACATGTATGTAGGTGAATGTGTTATTTCCACATGTGTAAAAAAATACTATACTAAGGGGCTAAAAATTAAACTTATTACCATAAAAATACTTTTTTTTGGTTCCTATTGTAGTAGATACACTCTTTGGGACTAGAACCATTGTCTGGTTCCGGGTTATCCCAGCGGTATTAAATCATAGAATACAGTAAGTTTTGTCCCAAGAGATAAGATAACAGTTCAATGAAAGCAGATACCAACTATTATTTATTGTTATTTGAAGAGTGGTGTATTCTATACAGTATATCTTCAAATGAATTATTTGTGAGTAGTAGTTAATAAACAACCCAGCCAAAAGATTAACCATATGTAAATTTAAATACCTGTCAATGGTTTCCAAAATTTCATTTAAATTAAATTTATTTTCATATGCAATCAACTTTTTTAATTACCTTAAATGAACAGTATCAGTAAACTGACAAGTTCTTTCCTCCCTTTAGCTTGTTAATAACACTTACCACGTAGAAGCGATGGGAGTACTATGTTTTTTTTAGGAACATCGCAAAAGTTGCAATAACATTTGAAGCGTGATTTTTACAGCAATGAAGATTGTATCCTATACTCTAATACGAGCAATGTTTGCTTGTATGTATGCTTGCTTGCTTGCTTGCAGAAAGATCTCGAAAACGGCTCCGACGATTTTCTTCAAATCTTGTAAATAGTTTATTTTTGGCCTAAAAACGAGCTTCATGCAGTTAGAACTCCCAACAAAAATCTAATTACGTAGAAAAACGAAACTGAAAGTCACATTTTTTTAACATTAGTCTTATGGGTTGCTAAGTAACCATGTTGGTTGAATTAAATAACAAGGAAAAAGTAAACAAAATACTTGAAGTTGTAGCACGTGTTCATAATAAGCCAACTACCCACAGTATACTAGCAAATTACAAATACAGTACAAAAGGGAAAGCATCATTTGCTACTATTGAGCAAAGATTATACTGAAGATTGCTCGATACATTGTAGGCATTGTAAGCAGTACGAAGTGTGGGATCTGTTTATGACGATTAGATTAAGGTATATACAATCCTAAAATGCTATGGGAAGGGAAGGATTGGAAACAGGTCTATGACGTAGTAAGTCGTGAAGGAAGTAGTAAAGGAAAGTTGTCCGGAGTGTTGGGTTTGCAATCAAAAAATGCTATGGGAAGGGAGGGAAACAGGTCCGTGACGTAGGAAGTGATAAAGGAAGTAGTAAAGGCGAGCAGTCCGGAGTGTGGGAACTGTTTATGACGATAAGATTAGGGTATTTGCAATCCTAAAATGCTATGGGGAGGGAGGGAAACAGGTCCGTGACGTAGGAAGTGGTGAAGGAAGTAGTCAAGGTGAGTAGTCCGGAGTGTGGGAACTGTTTATGACGATTAGATTAAGGTATCTGCAATCCTAAAATGCTATGAGAAGGGAGGAAAACAGGTCCGTGACGTAGGAAGTGGTGAAGGAAGTAGTCAAGGTGAGTAGTCCGGAGTGTGGGAACTGTTTATGACGATTAGATTAAGGTATCTGCAATCCTAAAATGCTATGGGAAGGGAGTAAAACAGGTCCGCGACGTAGGAAGTGGTGAAGGAAGTAGTCAAGACGAGTCGTCCGGAGTGTGGGAACTGTTTTTGACAATTAGAT